AGCAATCTCTTGAATTTCGCGGTTAAAACGCCCTTTTTGTTTTTTTTTTTTTTTTTTTTTTGTCTTTGCGCATTACATCTGCTTGCGGTTCGGCATTGTCTCGCGCAACTGTCGTAAAACACTAAAGGGCTCTCTTCTCTGTCCACCCTTTGTTTTAGTGCCAGATACCATAATATATTCGCATTGTTCTGCCATGGCTGGTTTTCGCCGCAGGCTGAACTCGCGATCTAGAGGAGAGAAACGAGAGTGCCGGGGCTCGCTCAGCTTTCTCTCTTTCTTTCTCTCTCTCTCCTTGAACGCGCACGTAGAAAGAAGAGACCTCTTCTCTCTTTCTGATATATTGCCCGCCGGACTCAATTTTGGCGAGGCGCACTAAAACAACGTTGCGCATTCGCTCGCAATGCGATCCGTAACGTCGACTTCTCTTCGCACGTCTTTCTCCCTCTCTCTCTCTCTCATCCTAATTTTATTTACGACCCAATCATCGTTTTTGCGTCGTAATATTTTTTACCTCGCCCTTCCTATGTAATATCTTACGATCTCTTAAAAACTTTATCAATCGATGACTTATTCAAGCCGGAAAAGAAAGCGAAAAGTTTGTTTGAGACAACAGCTGTCGAAAATCCGACTTCAATCCCTAATCCTCAAGCGTTCTTAAAAGTGAAGGTCTGACGCGTTTTGTTCGACTTAAAACTATTCGAAAAATTTTCCAAAACTTCTTTCAAGTGTCTACCAATTTTGTTGTTTATTTAACGAACAAATAGTTTTACATATTGAATTTATTTTTTTAAATAAATTTTTGAAGAAGGTTTCGAAAGAGATGGTGAGCAAAGGGGAAATTCCAAAGGGGAGGTTCGGAATTAGGAGTAAATCTTATTCGCGGTTCAATCGTGCGAGTTGCTTTTGTGAAGCGTGTCGCGGACGGAATGCGACACACAGACGTGTTGCAAGGGTGCGTTTTATCGTTGTTCGCGCGACGATATACAATAGAGGAGGCGCGACGCCGTGTGTGCGGACGTGTGGTCGGCGACTTTGACACACAAGCGCGCGACGACCGCAAGCTCTGCGCGCGATCGTTGCGCGAACGCAACAAAGGACCTCGAGGTGTATACGCCACTTGCATCCGGTATCGCGATCTAACGCGAGGAGGAATGCATCGCGCCCGATGAAAGCGCGATGAGGAGGGAAAGAAGGGGAGAAAAAACGAGAGAGGAAGCGGGGTAGCCGTCGAGAGAGACGACGGCAACGAGAAAGCACGTACGTCACTGTCAACTGCGATTCTTCACGCCATCGTCTGACTGATTTCCGCGTGTAAATCATCGCGTTTGTCTCGCCGGGGTTTCGCTACGAGGTTTACGGACATTCGGCGGAACCGGACTCGTGTCGGATAACTTAATGAGAATATCTGTGCGCGCGCGCGGAAACGACAACGCGCAACTACGGGATTATTCATTGGCCTTACATAAAGACGTTTGAACGTTCGGTCATAATTTCTCTCGCGGAATTGCGCGAGTCACTAGCCTCCGCGACGAGAAAATTGTTGCAGTCAAGGAACGTTTGTGCGTTATATGAGACGTGTTATGTCTCACAAACAACTACAATTGCATGGTCGTTTGTAACGTATTATTTTGTAATATATTATTGTTAAACATTTCAAAGTAGATCGCTGCTCGCGCGAGCGAAAAAGTTATTATACAAAACCACGCGGAATCCCATCATTCGTGGGATGAGCATCCGTCAGCGTTGCGCGTCGTCGACGGATCTCGCTTATCTCGAGGCCTTAACGACTCGCGAAGCAATTATCCCTCACTCGGGCGGCTCGAAGCGAAAATGACGATAAATCAACGTCAAAGTAACGATCTGACAATCGAAACAATTACCTGGCCGCGATTCGATTTTGCGCGCGCGAACTACGCGAATGCTCATTTGGTCGAGGGAAATTCAGGGACTACCGGGCGATCGATTATCGGATCTCGCCCGAGGTAATTAGCCGTCGTGTTTCTGCTCGCGCGAGGGAATTACGAGCATCGAAATGACGAGGAACAATCCTTAATTATAGGTTTCGACACGCTTGACGCAACAATGTTATATTCGCGTACATTCTATTAATTTATGTTAAAACATCTCGTGCGACGAGATCGATTACTCATGTTAATTAACATGTATCGCGCTAAATACGTACAAACTTTTCATCTTATCTGCAAACCAAAATTTCGTTGTTTTTTTATTCAAAAAATACAACGTTTCAAAAAACGTGAAATCTGTTCAACTCCACAGGACACAGAAAATGTAAAAAAATTCTAAAGAAAAAGAAAAGAACAACATTCAAAGAAACGTTTCAATGAAGTCTCAGAAAACTTCTTAGATTCTGTTTTTTTTCTCTCTCTCCAGGAATGTCGTGATTTTCTGAGATTTACAATACTCCGAAAGTCCGAAACGTGCAACAACAGAGCTGTGCGTCTATTGTGCGCGTCAGGGGTTCGCACTAGCGTTAGAAAAACGGACGTTGCATTTTGTCGCAACGGATGTTAGGTGTGCGACCAGTCGCATTTGCGAATGAAATAACGCGAGCGTGAGACCTAATTCTATATTTTATATTATTAATATTCAATTGAAATGACAGTCACACGTAGTGCACCAAAGAGAAGACACTCTTTAAATGATAACAGCGCGAATTACACAATCTATCTGACTGTCTTGTACAAGATATACGCGACGAACACGATTCTCGACGACGGAACGCAACATGCATTAACTCGTAGGGTGTCGAATACGAGAAGCCTGAGAAAGGTGTACAACAAGCTCGCGGTTCCTCGAAATCTGACCATGTTGTTTCAGTCATTGACTTCAACGCGATCTTTCTCACGAAACTGCATTCTGTCGTAAAGTTCGAGAAAGAATCGTTTGTTCTCGAAACCGCATTTGTAAATTTTAACACGAAAATTTGTTTTATAAATATGTACGTAAATAAAGAGCTATTTTTTGGAATAAGAAAAATACGTTATTATAAACATACGTGAAATAAGAAAATTATTTGTAAATAGTCTTAAAACAAAGTCTAGCAGGTAGACCTCACCCCTGGAGACAGATTGTGCGAAAGCAACAAAAAATTTCCAAATTCCAAGTTTCACTCACCTTGACGAAGGAATGAAACTTGACTTTGCTCGGCGACACGGGCGGGCTGTTTGCAAGTTGCTTCGGAGCGTGTAGCAAGTTCTGCACATCCAACAGACACCCCTTCCTGGCGTAGGGTCTGCTCTTGGGACTCGTCTGCAATTCTTCCTCGTGCTTCATCTTTTTCGCCAGCCTCAAATTCTCCTTGATGTTCTGCTTGCACAAGATATAACTAATCTTTCTCTTCTTGGCAATTGAGTCTCTTTCGCAAATTCTCCTCCACGCTGTGGACACCATGCTAACGGAGCACAGGTCCTGAGGTCCGAGATAAGCTAGGATTTTCGAAACTACGTGCAAATGGTTGCTCTCCTCACCGAGAAGCGACAGAAAGTCAACTCTTTCTCTTCCGGCGTAATCCGAACCGGATCTGATGTTGCTTCGCAATGTCGCGAACAGACCGCGATAGCTGAAGTCCAGCTTCTTCGGTTTGATCTCCGACGTGGCGGCCAGATCCGTGATGCACAGCTCGCTCAGCTTCCGATTCTCGGACGCGGGTGTGACGGGCACCAGGGCTCTCCATTTCTTCTCGCTTCTGTTCCTGAGAACCTCGTCGCACTCGTTGCTGGCGCAGCTCGGGGTGGAGTGTACCAGACCGAGGCTCTGGTTGATACTCACACATGAGGGTTCTAGCACGGAGTCATGTTCGACGGACGAGATCTCGGAAACGGGGTGGGTCTCGGAATCAGAAGTGTTCAACAGATGACTGTACTTTGAACGGCGCGCGACTCTCTGCGATTTCTCGCACTGAATAGGATCCCGACGGAATCTGTAGTGCTTCTTGGCGGACAACGCTCCGGAAGAAGATCGCGTTCTGTAGCCGGTCACCGTCAGCGCACAGCTGCTGCTGGTGTGCGGCGTGAGGGTGGACAGGTAACCGCTGTCCGTGCTGTTTTGAAGCTGGAAACTGTAGTTCACACAGACGTGCGGCGTCTGAGCGACGGGCATGCTCTCGACTTCCTCCATTGTGTCTCTCAAGGTGATACTTTAGCGATTATCTGAAAAAATCAGCGCTCACCTACCGATGCAGCCCCCCCTATCTTGTTTCCTTTTCGATCTTCCGCAACGAAAGCGACATGTTGCTTCTGTAACCTTCAGGTAAACATATTTGTTGCAGATATATTTTGATTGAAACAGACGATCGGTCACACGTGAAAGTCACTTTGTTGTTATCTACGAGAGTTTACCGACACAGTATTTACGTTTTCTCGCTAACTTAAAAAGGTTTTAATAAGCCACTTCACTTCTCATTGTATTCGGCGCGTGCTGCTTATAGATAAGATAGGACGAAAACTCACGCCGCTTTTTGTCGACCCGACAACGTAAATAACCACAACCGATTACTACCGTTCCCCGCTATCACTAAATCTCGAACGTGTTTTTGTTGTTTGCGATATACTTGACACGCGACGAAAACACGCGGACAAAACGTTCGACAAACGAAAATCGTTTCCTTCCTCGCGTGTTCCTTTTCATTCACGGCACTCGCGAAAACCGACTTTTTGCACTACACACGAACATTTCACGAGTGTTCCTTCGAGAAAGTTTTTCCTCGCGATATCGAATGTCACTTCGCGGTATCGATAAGTATCGAAAAACAGATCGCGTCACGAGTCCTGCGTCGCGAAGTTGACCGAAGCTGTCGCGCCGCTCATGGCGCGAGCGCTTGACGTTTCCCGCTCGATGTGTTGATGCGCGAGACACTCGCGTTGCTCGGCGCTGCGCTCACGTGCGCGTCGCGCGGGAAACGCACCCCGCAGCATCGGTTTCTCCCTCTCCTCTCTTCGTTGCGACCCTTCGCGGCAACGGCCATGGGAGACCGGACACCCCTTCCAGTATGTGGAAACACCACCTTTCACCGCCGCTATGTTGCTGCTGCGCCGGATGTTGAACGCGAATAGGGGTTCAATTCAAACTCGAATTCTGAGAGAGGGGGACGCCGCTCTCAGCGCCGTCTAAGCGAGCGATCCCGAACTAGCAAATTGAAATACAAGCGAGTGGGGAAGTGGCGCCAAATTTAAATCTTAACGCAAGCGCGTTCTCACAAACGTTATCATCTGTTACGTTATCATCTGTTTCGTGTCAATCTTAAAAGATTGATACGAAAAACTACTAATTTTTACAGAACTGTTTTTGTTTAATAAGTTGAAAGTTTTGAAACAGTTTTTATGTTGAAGTATTTCTCTGTGCAATCTTAAATAACGTGTATAACCAGTTAAACTTATTATTTATTAACTTACAAAAAGCATTATTTTACTTACGTTAATACGAACAATGTAATGATATTTCTTGTAGCGTGTGATTTTATAAACATGTACGTTTTTTATTCGAACTTACCGACACGTCTCGCTGTCGCGCAACACTCTCACTACTAGCGCCATCTGTGAATCTTTCGCATATGTGCTACAAACTTTAAGGGTCATCGCGCTCATATCGCCATAGACAACCGTAAGACGTACCGTAAAAATTGACCAATTATAATCGTTTATATTCGAAAATGGTTTCGCTTTGTGATTAGAAAATTCTTAATGTAATTGGCTAATTTTTACGGTATGTTACAGCTACGGCAATTTGTGTGCGAAGGCCTTAATCTGTGAGTAAAATACCATCGTAATGTTACGATGCGATTGGTCGATCAGAATCGACGCAATAGCCAATCAATACGCTGCTCTTTTGTAGATCAAAATGCTGATTGGCTATCGCGTTGTGTCTCATCGCGCATAACACGTTGGCAATATCGTAAATACATGTAAACAAACCGTAATCGAGTTATCTCGCACCGACAGATGGCGACTTCGATTTTCTCAGAGGGGCGCAGAGTGCGGGGAACAAGGTTTACATGCATCACACGGTGAAGATTGTCGGACGATGCCGACGAGTCTCGTTGGTGTACGCTTTACCTGTTGATGATCGAGTTCGGTTCAGTCCGCGATATAATTGGGGCTCACAGCTGAACGACGATACGGACGAATAAAATTCTGGTTAGTAAGACTCGCGAGTGTTTGCGTCGGTCCTTACGGTTGGCGGTTAAACATTTTCATACAGAACTAGAGCGCTGAGAAGCGATAGGCGCTCCGGAATTTTTCGTGCCTCGGAAAATCAGAAAAGAACCACTGTCAACCCCCCGTGACCACGATGCTTTCCGGTCGCGTGTGGTTAATCAAGTTGTTTCGCGCCTGATCGGGAGATATCGGGACCGAACGTTTGCAACATCCTCTCGGAACATGACTGAAGATGTAACAACACTCAGTGTCTCCGTGCGAAATTAGTTGTTTTTCTTGGTGTTTTCTTCATCGAGTGAGACGAGTGAGTGACTTTAGTGGCAATAGAGAGGATGGCAGTCCGCATCACTCTGGAATGTGGACACACGTCGACACTGCGGATGCGTACCACTCCGGAGGGTTACACGCACGATTGGGAAGTGTTCGTACGCGGAATTGACAATGCCGATATATATCAATACATTGAAAAAGGTACGTTATTTACTGATTTACGAGGTTTCTCTTCAATGTTGAACCGTTTAATATATTTATTAAGTACGAGTTAATTAACTTCTGCAAATTTGCAATTTTATTCGTTCTTTTCTCTATTGTTTACATTATTTATCAACTTTCGAAAGTTCAAAACTTTGACTCAAAATATCACAACGTCAGATTTTATTTTACAAATTTGTAAACTTTATATAATGTTATAAAACAACTTAGAAAGTTTGATAGTTTTGTAGACAAAAAACTCTGACTACTTAAGATAAGATAAGACAAATTGTCTACTAATGACTTATTGTTTCCAGTGGTATTCCTGTTACATGACACATTTCGGAATCCCAAAAGAGTGCTGAAAGAACCGCCATTTGTAGTAAAGGAATCTGGCTATGCAGGCTTCATAATACCTATAGAAATTTATTTGAGAAATAAAGATGAGCCGAAAAAATTTCAAATAACATATGATCTTCATCTGCAGCCAAGTGGCCCACCTATTAATAATGTCACTCGTCATGCAGAAATATTTCGTAATCCTTCTGATGAATTTAGAAAAAAGTTATTGAAAGGTGGAGGTGTAAGTATAATATTTATACATATTGAAATCTTTAAGAATTATTATATGATTAAAGAGAGAAGAGCCAATTGGTTGGCTATTACAGATCACAGAAATACATAATTTTATAAAATTGATATTTAGTTTTATCCATTTTTGTGTTTACTGCAAGATACTTGAATATAATTAAAGTTTATTAATAGCTTTTTTCTATTTTTTATGATTGTATATTGAAAGTCATTTTGACTTTCTTTTAAAGGTGTAATCATTATAAACATTTATAAAGAAGATAACAAATAAGTACAGGAGAAAACATTCATGGATCAAAAACAAATCAAAATTAATTAATTATTTTAGGTTATGGTATCTAGTAGAGATGGTTCATTGGAGAAAAATGATACAAAAACATTGATTGGCAAACCAAAGTTGAACGGCAGTGAGAACAAGAAACATCGCATTTCTGAATCCAAAACTTCTAACCCGTTTCATGATTTGTTTGGTCCTCCTATCAAAACAGCTCCTGTGAAAATATCACCAGACAGCAAGAAGATGAATCAATCCGATAAAAACATAGCTTCTAAGCCTTCTGCTGTGATTGAAAAATCTGACAAAATAGATAAAACAATTAAAACGAAGGAAGGTCTTCACAGGGACAATAGAAAAGACAAAGTAGACGATAAGAAGGATAAAAAGACTAGAGATAGTTCTAAGGATCAACTTAAAAGTAAAGAAAGATCTAAGAAAGATCTTCCTAGTCCTGGGAATAAGAGTCACTCAAGTCCTGGAACCAAGAGACCACCGTCACCTGTTGCTGCAAAGAAGTCATCAACTCCTCCTCCACCAACTGCAAAGCATTCTCTATCACCTAAATCAAAGGAGAAAGAAGTGAAGAAGAGTATGGAAAAAGAAAAGGATAGCAAGGATAAGGAGAAAACGAAGAGTAATTCCAAAAGTGATGGAATTGATTCCTCTAAATCTGAGAGAAAAAAAGAGAAGAAAAGACACAAAGATGACAAAGACAAAGAACGAAAAGACAAGTATAAAGATGCTGCGGATAAAGTTGCTGTTAAAGACATCGCAAAGATAAGCGAGAAGAAACCCGAAAGAACAGACAAGGTGGAAAAATCGGATAAAGAGAAAACCCAGGAATATAAATCGTCATCGAGAGACGGCAGAAAATCGCCAAAACCCTCGAAGGAAAACGACAAGGTGAAAGATGACAAAGCAATAAAAGTGGAAAAATCAGACAAGAATGAGAAGTCTGAGAAAACGAAGGATGGTAAGAGCGACAAAGAGAGACAGAAGCACAAACATAAAAAGAGAGACAAAAAGGACAAGAGGGACAGCAAAGACAGGGAAAAGAAGGAGAAACGGGAAAGAAGTAAAGACAGCAGTGAGAAACAAAACAACGCGTCTTCCGCCACGTCCGGCGGAAATCCACTGTCCACTCTTATAACGGAGATGCCGGAAAAAGACAGCAGCGATTCGGCACCTTCGGTAGACGACGACTCGTTACCTGAAAGCAAAAACATGACTAATATCAAAAAGGAAACGGAACCTGCGATATCAACTACACCCGTGGAAATGGCAAAACCACTTTCTCCCGGCATATCGATGGAGATAAAGAAGGACAAGAGCGATCGCAATAGAAAAGACAAATCCAAAAGGAGCGAGGAAAGAGAAAGCCGAAAGAGAAAGAGAAACAAAGAAGACGAAGAGATTTCAGCGAAACGCCAATCGACTTCTCCACCTTTGGAGCCAGTCTCGTCGAGTCAGTCTCCGGTCGCGATAGACGGCGATGCTGTTCATCATTCGGAAAAGGACATGAAAAAGGACAAAGATCTTAAGAAGGACGATCGTGTCGATTTGATGGATCAGGTGGTCAATGACAAGGATATCGATACTTACGTCGAACAGGTAGCTCCCGATTCCACCAACAGCACTGACGTGGAGATCAATGAGCCGCCGATATTCTCCGAGGACTATGTATCTCAATTGAAGGATCTGCAACACAAAATAATGACGTTGCAAGATAATCAAGAGCTGCAGAGAGTGGTGCAGCTAATTGCGGAGACCGGCCAATACGAAATCACGAAGAAGACGTTCGATTTCGACCTGTGTGCGTTGGATCGTAGAACTGTACAGCGTCTTCAACAGTTTTTCTCTGCATCTTGACCATCTGTGATGTAAGGTATATCACACCTGTTTGGTTAACTTGTATACATACTTGTAAGATTGCATGAAATTTATCTTGCTAAGAAAGAATTTCCGGCAAGTATAGACGTATAAAATTCCAAACAGAGGAATTCATTTTTGAATAATGAGAGTTTTTAGTTATATTACTCGGAAAACTTAAATAAATATCTTTAAAGAATTTAAAACTTACTTTTGCATGTTTTTTTTTTTTTTTTTTTTCTTTTATATCGCGATACCCAGAATGTCGTAACAGACGTTTTAAAATGTTCTAAATTAGACGACAAAGTATATGTATATAATATATACGAGGAGATTTGGCACACGTTGTACCAAGTAGTTCCCCGTTAAGAAAGAAAGAAATTTAACTTGTGTTATAAAAAGACGTGTGACAGATCAATCCTGTGTTTTGACAACGGGATATCGACTCCGTCACGTACGCCTCTGTAATCGTTTCTCATTTTACTTGATTTTTTTCTTTATTGGTCGAGATAATTTGTATTAATTTCTAGATAATTTTTATCTAGAAAAAAAGCGTACTCTGCTACTCCGTTAATTAAGAACCAAAATTTTCTTCATTAACGAGATACCGCAGTACTTTGTAGAATAATATTTTGGTGCACTAAAAAACATATTAACATTTGCATTTATCGGACGTTATCTACTACGCAGAGAAAAAGTTGATTTCTTATCGTACATTGTATGTATTGCGTATGATTGCACTGATTTAGTGATACAAGAAATAATTGTAAGCACGAACACCGTGTCATGTGTGTGTGTCATTGCTTTGTAACATATAGACATATTTTTAACGTTGCGTATTTTTCTTCTTTTTTTTTTTTTTCATCGTGTGTGTGCGCGCGTGTGTGTGTTTGGAACATAAAAAAAGCCTAGTTTACTTATTTATATTGAGACTACACAATATTTATTGATATTTTTGTACAGATCGTATATAGACTATACTTGTGTTGACGTACAGTGACAGCGAGTTTATAAAAAAAAGTGTGATGACTTATGTATTTGCGCATAGGAAATATGTGTGCGAAAGAAGATTCTTCTAACGACAATTCGCACGCGCGTGTGATATATGTTTAGGATATTCTCTATAACATATTATGCATACGTTAAGAAAATTTCCTCTGTATCCCAGCCGTAATATTTTCTACTTGCAAATTGCACTGTCAGGGATGAGAGGGATTTAAAAAAAAATGCGATGACAAAAATGATGATTCTTCACATAGATCGATTTGAGTAAAATCATCAGAAATTCTTGTAAAGAATTCCAAACCTAATTCTTTGGCTGCGCGCGACGCTGTACATGTACGCGCGTTGTCACAAATCGACATATCCTGTCACACACATGTGGAGTCTCTCTACGTATGTAGAGCTCTACACACAGATTATCTTAGTATTACTCGACGAGGCCAGTTTCCCCCTCGAAATTCTGAGAGGAGATACAAATGAATATTAATAAGTGCTAATCATGCGGTTAACACGCCGCAGTCAAAGGATTAATATGCGTTATAAAAGAATTCATTGTTTGGGTAGGTATATACGATCATCAACATGTATCAACAGTCTCTTGTTTTTTTTTTTTGCTAGCTCGTTTTTCAAATTTTAATATAATTTTGTCGCAAATACCACACATATGCATCGCAGTTTGTGCGGCGTGTTTATGCAGCTGTCACACAAATGTTTCTTTGCTTTATGTGATACGTCTTTACATTGCATTGGAATATTTCGCTATTGATAAAATTATATGTATGATCACAACGATTATAATATATATAAATCTTCGTATCGTAGTCAAGATGTTACGTGCAATTGATACGTGTGAAATAGTTTAATGGTTTTTGATAAAGTTACAAATGAGATAGCAAAGAATATATATATTATATAATTTTAAGGCACTAGTTCGGCGATGTGTTGTTGATAAGTGTGGCTAAAAAAAAACATGTGCGAAAACATGTGTGAAATGTCACGCAGTTATGTTTTCTACAGGCGGTTAACTCTATGTTACACTGGAATGCTTGCTCCAATGCTTAGATCGAAATTGAGAAAGACGGATAAGCTGCTCATGTAAATACCACTTCCCTTTCTGTCTCTTCTCTAGTGAATTGTCAGCGGTATATTTCTTTTTTTTTTTTTTCTATTTTCTTCCAATTCTTTCTTTCACATTCACGTTTCATTGCAGTGAGCTATATTTATTCTAGTATAGAATAGAATTCGCTGGTACGCCAGTACAATTGATTCATATGTGCGTGTGTGCGTTAAGTGTGCTTCTCGATTAAAATACTCGATGTTATGCCATTTTGGCGTACGTTGTTGTAAACACCAATAAGCGGGAAAGAAAATGTCTGTCGAAGTGCTATTGCATCGAACATTCACGTGACATTTTTTAAAGTTGTTTTTTTCGATTTTATAAAATTGTCTATTCTATGTTTTTTCATACTTTTTATTTGCATGTTATTTGTATGAATTTTTAAAAATTCTTCTATTATTATTGTATCAGTTGTTTTGTACAATCATTTGATGCAGTGTGTTACTTCCATATAACGTCGAGTTTGCAATCGTACTGCGAGTAGAATCAAAGCAGTGCTTTTGAAACTGGATTATAGAAGATTATACTGCATTATCTGATGTATGTATTTTAAATGATGTATTAGCAACAAAATTGTATAAAGTATCAAATTTTTTTGATTTGAAAATAAATAAATATGTTTGCATTTTGTGTGTATATGTGTGTGTGTGTGTGTGTGTGTATGTTTCAGCAAAACTTTTGTAATTCCATAATTTAAAAACAACAGATCAACTTGTGCGACAGATCTAAGAGGCAAAATATCAAAGCAAATTTAATTATATACACATATGAATTGTACGTTTAAATACTATAATAGTGGACTGCAGCTTTGTTATATTGTATCTGCTTATGTACGAAGTAGCTCAGCGCGCACATAATAACTGTAACAAATTTATTGCGAAATACCACAGAGTTTAATGCGTTATGTTACATGTTATACGGACTTTAGTCGTTTTACCGCCCCCCAATGTTTTAATCATCTTATATTTACATATTTGGGACGTAAAATTGGCGCGGTGAAGTGCAAGAGGTTTATATTCATTTTGATGAATTACCACACATATGCAATAGAACACCAAAGCTTGTTGTTGTAATAAAATAATAAAAGCTTCTGTCGTGTAATCAAATGATACAAACAACACCCGTGCAAGATATTTTTTACATCTCTGTATCAACGGACAGGAGAGGAAAAAAAAGCTAATAAGATTAGATGTAATTTTTAGATGCCTTTTTCAGACTTTTTGTCGGAATTTCGCAAATGAGATTTTTTATGAACGTTGAAGCTTGATTTTGCAAACAGATCGAATCAAGATGTAGTTATACAAGTACATATATATAAAGTTTTATCGTAGTGATGTGATATTCAGCTCGATTATTATTGCATGATTACGCAATATCTCTCTTTTCCTCTCTCTCTCTCTCTCTCTCTCTCTATCTTTATCTTTATCTCTCACTCTCTCTCTCTCTTTCTCGCTCTTGCGATTTAAAAATCTGTAATCACACTTTTATTTTTATTATCGTATAAATAATAATACATAACATATTTTGTGTTCACACACACACGGCGTGATCTTCTAATCGCAAGTTGTTATTTATCTATAATATATGAATAGAGATCACACACACACATAATTGTAAAAAGTGTCGCAAAATACATAGTAGATATTATACATACATATATTTACGGATACGGATCGTTGATTTTTATAATAATGTTCGAACAATTGTGTACGTATATATCGATGATACACTGATGATTGTACTCTATGATAGTACCATATGAATTATATAATACTTGAATTTACTTGATTGATTTTGATCGTTATATGATATTTATGATTGCTTAGTCATTCAAGTTTATTGTTGTGCGGTTTTGTAAGAACTTCTAGATCATTGTTGTATAAAAAGAAAAAAGTCATAGATGCCGCGCGCGTGCGCACAAGAATGATAAATTCTCATGATTCTCATTTACATATGTACATAGTAGATGAATAAATGATGAAATGCGGAGTAAAATGATCAATGACTTTGTGAAATACAAGTACAAGACAAAACTGGATTTGTATGCCATTTTGATGTATTCACATTAAATCTATTAAAAAATAATATATATATATATAAATATATATATATATATATCTTAACCAATTGTGTGTCTTTCGATATTTCTTGATATCTGTGAGATGAAACTAATTCACTATTGGGAATTCAACAAATCTCAGGATAAATATTATGTATTGGTTTTTATATACATATATGTAGCTTGTATATTTTTTATTATATTCTTTGATTTTATTTAATTTCTCTTAATCTTCCGTACAATAAATGTAACAGAGTAAAATTGTGATTACGATCTGCTTGTCTGTTGGTAACTTCATTATATAATAACAATATTAATTAAATAATTACAAAGATAATGTGAAGACGTGATTCGTATCGTATGTTCAAAAGCGTATCTTTCAGCCGTTTTTTTTCCGATCACGTCGAATTCTTCACAACAGGTGGCACAACAAACATATAGATGTTGTTTTCCCCAGAAGAAAGTTGATACAATTATTAGACACAAGCGTAACGAAATAATAAAATGGTCTAATATCCTGCCAATTCGGCGAATGTCGAGTCCATTTCGTCGGCCAACGACTTGTATCTGTCCTTGTTAATACCAAGTTCGTCTGAAATGTAAGAAAAGAATGTTCTATCACCAATTTCTAAGCATTTTAAAGACCAGTCAATTTTTTTTAACTAAAGAACTTGAAAATAATGTTGCCATAAAAAATTCAAATTATTTCTTCTATAATGTCAATAAATAAAAAGTATCCAAAGAAGCAAAAATGATAACTAGACAAAATCAATTATTAAAAAAGTGCCAATTATAAGTTCGGTTACGTGTATAAAAAATAGAAGTTTTTTTACCTTCGAGCCTATCGACCTCCTTCTGGAGTTTCTTGACGGTCTTTTCGGCAAATTCGGCGCGGGCTTCGGCTTCCTTTAGTTTCACTGTCAAGGTCTTTAGTTGACGCTTGAATTCTTCGACTCGTTGATTGGCCTAAAAATGCAAAGATTGTGGTCGTGACAAGCGGCATTTTAAATAAAACATAAGATTATAAAAATGATACAAATATGTGACATACTGTGCTATAGTCATACCTTCTCTTCGGAGACTTCCAGAGACTTCAAGCTGTTACCAACGACCTTCAACTCTTCTTCCAACTCCATGATTTTGCTACGGAAAAAAAAGAAAGTGAAGAATGAATTTGTTTATGTTGAATCTACTCCTTGTGTTAATCTGACACTTACGCCTCGCCAGATTTCACGCGATCCTCAGCGACTTCGAGCTCGTCTTCAACGAAGGCCAGCTTGCGAGACACTTCGTCGGACTTGCCGTCGGCGTCTTCCGCGAGCAAACGGGCCTCCTTCAGTTGGTTCGTCAATTGGTCCATCCTCTCCTCATCCTGCTGCGCGCGATTTTCCAACACTTTGCACATACTGCAAGACGCAATTGCGCGATGTTAAATACGCAACGAGAATGAGTGCGACTTAGCGGCCTTTAAGCGTGTAACAATTAACGACATAATCACCGGCTGGACTCGTCGGCGGCCTGCGAAGCTTCGGTCAACTTGGCAGTCGCGGTGTTCAATCGTTCCTCCGAACGCTCAAGATCCTCCTCGATAAGCTGGACTTTGCGATTAAGTGCGGCGACCTCGGCTTCAGCCTGAAAGTGACATAGAGCAATTGGAATTCGAAGCGCGCATAACAGAGCAAATTACGACGACATAAACATCTGAACAAGAAGCTCACGTTGGTGAGGGATTTCTCGCGATCCTCAAGATCTTTGTTGGCTTGCTCAAGAGCCTGTTTGTTCGAATTGAGATCGCTCTCGACCTGAGTCAATTTCTTCGTGAGCTCCGCGACCTCCTCGAGAACCTTGTCCGCGCGCATATTCGCGTCCTTCGCCTGCCCCTCGCAGGTGTCCGCTTTGTCCATAGCATTGTCCTTCTCAAGCTTCATCGCTTGCATCTTCTTCTTGATGACATCCATGGTGGCGGCTTTGTTTTGAGGACTGTCCCAACGAAATTATCGAGTGTGCTGGAAATGAAACGTACACATACGTCAAGTTCCATCGTGTTGTTTCGCAAACAATTCGTATTTTCTTGGCAATAACGTAATTTTGGATCTTCCATTATCTCTCGGGCGGGGGATGCAATTCGACGAAGGTATGTTATGCTGGCCAAGCGCGGTTCGCGAGCTATTGAATCTCTCCGATGTTCCGCGAGCCACAATTCCGGCGGCTGATCGCAACGCGTAAGCACGAGGAGGATCGCACGCATCGGAGCGTCTACGGAAATAGCATCCCGCAGCCCGATTCTATAAATATGTGCGGAACGACGACGACGTCGACAACGGCGGTGGCGGAGAGAGAGAGAGAGAGAAACGGTCGCTCTCCGGACGCTCCGTGGCGGCGCCGCGCAAGAAGAGAGGCCCAAAACGTAACGAGTTTAACCCAGAAGAACGGGCTTTACTTGGCCGCCACCACCGACCGACATTCGATCTAACCGACGCGTATTAATAGCATTTTACAAAACTTCGCCGACTAAGTTCGTGATAGCCGCGGATATTTCGTCTCGCGCGCGAATTTTACGCCCTCGTATATGCCGAACGTGCGCGTATATTTTCCGTCGTTTTCACGGAAACCGCCTACTTTTATTTTTTTTTTTTTTTATGACAAAACTAACACATCGCCAGCGGAAAATGCAATCCAAACGAAATGTATGTAACATCGAAAATATTATTTTTTGTGATGCATGATGAATTTATATAAGCACAATGACTTCAGGATGGGAAAACATTTAATGTGTGTGTTAAAGCAGAAACGCCGTTAAAAAGACAGAGCTGCATGTAATCAATATAATATGTTATATTGATTTTCAATGTACATAAGCATAAAGCTACGTGTCTTGAATACCCGCACGTTGCTAAAAGAAACTGTAGCAAGAATAAAAAAAAAAAAAAAAAAAAAAACGAAAAAAATAATTTAGCACAACTCGTGTATAAACGTTTCAAAAAAAAAAAAAACACGACAAAATTGACCACGGC